AGATAATTATATTAAATAACAGAAAAATAACTTACTTGCTATTCATTAAATAAATAAGTGTATAAACGAAAGAATTAGTATCGAAATTATTTCGAAAGATAATTATATTAAATAACAGAAAAATAACTTACTTTCTATGCATTAAATAAATAAGTATATAAACAAAAGATTAGTATCGAAATTATTTCGAAAGATAATTATATTAGATAACAGAAAAATAACTTACTGACTATTATTATACGAATAAAGTATATAAATGAAAGATTATTATTAAAATTGGTTCAAAAGCCAATTATTAGTAAACAGAAAAATAGCTTACGATCTATTAAATAAATAAGTGTATAAACGAAAGATTAGTATCGAAATTATTTCAAACGATAATTATACTAGATGACAGAATAAAATAGCTTACCTTTTAATATCATTTTAGATGAATAAATGTGAATATGAAATATTAGCATTAAATTGTTTCAAATGATAATTATATTGAAAACAGAATAAGGTACTTACATATCACGGGTCACCAATTCAGGATCCATTTCACCGCGTACTAGAGCGGCCATTGCATTAAATGCATTAGCAATAACAAAGGTAGTCAATAAAAAAATATTTTGCCTCAAAATATCTAACATCGTTTTGGTTTTTCTGTCAATTTTTGTTAACTTTTACTTTTTGTTGTAGGATTCTTATCGAGCCTGTAAAATTTGCAAGATTGAGCGTGTATTTATATTAAATTAGAAGCAACCAAATGTATTTATTTAAGGAAAAGATGACTTTAAAAGATACTGAATTGAAAATCTATAGCGATTGTTCCACATTATTTTTCGATCTAGGCTAATTATTAATTAACTCAATTAAAAATAGCCTCTAATCGAATGGGTTGTACTGAACAACCCGTTCGAAGATCCTGAACTATCACTGTGTAATATTGTGCAAATCCGAGCATACATTGTTTAAGGTCTTGTGTTGGATGAAAATAAAAAAAATGTGTAGTAATGCTTTTATATTTCCAACGTGTTGAGTAAAATAGATTAAAAATATTAATCTATTAATTCCTATTATGTAGCATTGAATAGAAAGATTTTAATCATTTAATTCCTATTACATAGCATTGAGTAGAAAGATTTTTAATCATTAAATTCATCGAATTATTTTGTCATTCCTAATTAGCATTTAAAATTTGCCCGACTTAGTTTAGGAGCACTAGACTCGGGATGATCTGGGTTTACTAAAATTCCCCCCAATTCCTATTGGACGAGAAAAATCCTACTTTTCGATCAAATAATGAAAATGTCGTTGAAACAGTATAAAGGTTTAATGGAACAAAAATTATACTAAAATTTGCAAGGAATATTTTTGTTAGAACACAAAAAGTGGGTTTGTAACTAAAATTTTAAGCTACCAACGATTTTTGAAAAACTTTAAAAACTTCGATTTTTTTTTTGAAAATTTTATGTCCATTTACAACTGTCCAATTAGAACCGTGGGGAGAAATTAGGGATCCCGGATGATCTTATACAGTCAGGGATTTTTCAAATTTGTGTACTGCAGATCATTTCTCTTTTTGGTGAAAGATCTTCAATTGGGAAAATTCTATGGTCCAATCATTGGCTGTGTCATTATTTGACACACAAACCCTTAGGGAAATAATTTTTGCAAATATCGATAGGTGATAATCATCTGTGGTAAAAAGTAATTATTTTCTATATGATATAAATAGAAAGAACTCAAAAAGTATAATTTTGAATAATCAAGTTTATTGCGTTTATATTCATCCGGAAATTTTGTGATTTGTTGGTATCACCAATTTGGGTGCCTTAAAAATCTTACAAAATCTTATTTTTGATTTTCAGGAGCAGTTTCTACTTTAAAAGATTTTTCTTAATAAGATTTATTATAAAATTTTTAAATTAAATTGTTTTCGGAAGGTGTAATAAATTTTGATCTGTAATAAATTTTGATCACTTGTCCAATTGTAGTTTAGGTAATAGTGTTAAGAACTTTTTTTTTTTTTACAGAAGTTGCAACATAAATTTCTATTAATCAAAGCCATTTTTAATTTATTACTAGTAGAAAATATTTTTATTTCATCTCATAGAAATTTTTCACTTTTTTTAAGTTTTTATATTATGTGACGGGTTTAATGTCGAGTCCAGAGATGGGGCAAATGCGACGGATTGTCGCTAGAAAAATGGTTATGCCGCGTAACGTTCCTCAAAGATACAAGAGGCGGTTTTTCGATTTGGCACTGGTCGAGGCGATCGATGGGGAGCGTTACAAGATGAGTATTACGATTTTAAAAGAGCGTTGGTTTATTTTTTACAAGTTAAAAAGGGCTTTATTATCTTTGTAGGGGTAATACAATTATATTATTCGGGGGGTTCTTAATTCTTGGACGATACTGAACTCTTGGAAAGGGGAAATTCCACCCTTTTTATAATGAATTGAACGCGAGAAGAGCCCGCGCAAGACCACGACTCTTCTCACTATTCCCAACACTTGCCAACCTTATTTGTTATAACCTTTAACCCCTTCCACACAGCCTTTCGTTACTTTAACATTTCTCACGGCCTTCATAGAACCGATGAGAAATGTTTCAGTTTCACGATCCCGGGGCCAGAACCCATCATATTGTCTTTAATCGCACCCCCCTTGACATCGCCTCACACCTAACCCAAGTAAGGTAGGTGGAGTCAACGTCCATTCCCAGCGCAACAGGTTGATCCAGGTCGACCTTACTTTAATTAGAGGGGGGGGTGGGGTCTCGCATGGAGGCTTGTGTACTTTCATATGGCTTCTTTGGGGCCGGGCGCACATGTTTCAAATGGATCGTCATGGGCACCTCCAATTAGGTAAGTATGCCACAATGACGTCCATTTTGCAGGTTCTATGGGTGTCGGTTTTACCTCTGACAATTATCATTCTATTTCGAATATATAATATAAATTTAGTTTAATGTTTTTAAACTATTTCTTTTGTTGTAAAAATATCGTATACCACTTAAAAAGGTAACTAGATAGCTGTGCGACATCATCACGCAAAACCAAGAACGGGAATTGTGAACAAAAATATGTACATAATTCAGATTTCCAAAGACTAAAACTTTTATTTATAACTCTCTTGGCAATATTCATGTTTATATACACGCATAAGCAAGATAATTATATTGCTTTTAGGCAGCGAGACATCGTCAAGATTTAATAGTACATGCTAGTACCATGTGTGGCTGGGTGTTTAATCATTAGGTAGCTGCGCAACATAGTCGCGCTAAACCAGGAACAGAATGCTTTACTTAAATGAGTAAATAAGTTTGATTATATATATATAATTAAGTAATAAAATATTTGTTATTCATTGTCTTATAAAATTTAGTTATTATTGTAGTGCCGTATAGCTTAATTTGATAAACTATCTTGTCGACAGTCATTTTATTAATAAGGTAACTGCGTGACACTGTCACGCGAAAACCAGGAACGGATGACTAATAGACGTGTTTGAATATTTGAAAAATCGAAAATATTTACATTCAAGATTGGTGTTCGAGATGCGTTATACGTGATATACGATTGAGTGAATTGATTAAAGAAGAAAGCACTGATCGCATGTTAAAAAAAAAAAAAGAATAGTAATAATAGCACGTAATAGTTATTGTGAATATCATCTGAATGGTCTCGAGATTGTACACGTGGTTCAATTACAATCATTGGTTGGATCACGGTTATTGATTATCCGGAGGATAATTGCGTCAATGGTGATGATGCATAAAGTACGTTGTAAGAGGTTCCGAACTAGAGATGGGACACTGCAGTATTTCACTGCGCATGCTGAGCAGGCTGCATAGGCATTTTTTGAGACTGCGCAGTGCAATTTGAATTAGCGATCGGAAACCGTTCCGGATCGGCCCTAAAGAAAGCAACCCGAAAATGTACCAGGTTGCTGCTCCGGTGATTATGTAATAGTCCGGAATGAATATCCGGTGTTGGACCCGAAACACGTGATCCACGAGTGATGTGGGATCTTCGTCGTATGACCCTAAGTCACGCTCTCTCGGCTATGTAGATCATATACCTTAAATGTGTTTACCGGTGTGATCTCGGGAGCACGTGGAAGGAGGTGTCGATGTGACGCAGTAACAACCAACGGCTATGTTGATCATCTACCTAATATGGGCTTCCCGGGATTATCGCTCCTAAAAGTCTTATCGGTCCTAAAAGTCTTTTAGATCCGTTAGGAGATATAGGAGCAATAAGAGTTTTAAGAGAAAACGGTAGTAAAAGGGATATACGAGATTTAAGTGTTTTAAGTGATTAAGGACATTAAAGGGATATAAGTAATATAATACGTTTAATACATTTAGTACCTTAAAGATCGCATATGTAATAAACCAATATATAATAAAGGCTTCAAGCCCTATGAGAAGCAGTAGTTCATGCTTGTAATGAAGTTTGACCCTAATGATTCTCTACCTTCGCTAGATTCCTAAAACCTATGATAATAAACATACCACTCGCCAAATCTAACTGCCTCTTATCGACTAAGCCGTTCGTAGGTTACACAACATATCCATTTGTCAAGCGACTGACTTGCCGTTTCAACTGTGTCATTTTGGTGGTGACTATGAGATGAACCAAAAGAAGCCGATATCAAAACTGAAGTCTTGAGGCAAGAAGTGAGGCAAACCTGCCTGTAAGTTGTAACGATAGAGCCTGGTCTGGCAAGGAATAAGACTTGCATAAAAAGGGTGAAGTGCCTGTGTATTAAAAAGCTGCAATAAAGGTTAAAAAGAAAAGAAAACCCCTGAAATAAAACGTAACTGTGAAGTGAAGAAAAGCCTAGGTGGTCTAAACTTTCAATTCTGTGCTCCTAACCAAAGTCATTCCTTAAAGATTTCTAAAGCCCAAAGAACTCCCTGAAAATGAGGCCAAAAAGAACAAATATAATCTTTGCAATAGCCCTCTAGAACCACATAGGTTGGACCCTCCTGTTGGCACATATAATGTTGGACATTGTCATCGAAATGGAATGGGTGTCAAAAAAGATAAACAAAAAGCCTTCATCTATTATCAAAACCCTACAAATATGAGTAATGCTAATGGTGCATATGATGTTGGTTATTGTTACCAAAATAGGAATGGAGTTCAAAAGAATGAATGTAAGGCATTCAGATACTATAAAAAAAAAAATCTGCAGAAATAGAGAATGCTAATGGAACCTGCTATGTTGGATATTGTTATAAAAAAGAAATTGAAGTTGAAAAGGATAGCCATCAAGCATTTGACAACTATAATGATAACAGCAATAACAATAACAATAGTAATAATGACGGTAACAGAAAGACAGTTGTTTCAGATGAAAAAAGTTGAAGTCTTGAATTGTTAGATCTTGGAAAGCTTGGAGAAACCTGTGAAAATTGGATAAAAAGGGTTAAAGAATTCTGGCAGACAAACAAACAAAAAGATGGACCTACAGAAAAAGAACCTACCAAATTTAAAGAAACTTGCTAACCCAAAGAACCTTCTATTATAAAATTTAGGATGAATGAAGCAGGCAAAGTTAAATCTGGTAAGCTAGAAGGAAAGTCACAGAAGTTAGAAAAACAAAAGCAAGACAAAAACAAAAATAGTCAGAAAGA